CCTTGTGTGAAGTTCTTCATTGATTTGCTATATTTTTATTCTATTCTTATTGTCATATGATGTGCAGCTAATGTACACAACTTGTGATCGATAGCATTCATCTATTATCTGGTCGAGTGGTTGTGTGACTTCTAATCTTTTCTTTTGCTACGTGAAAATTAGATTGAAAAATACGAGATGTTTTACATTCAAACGGTATTTTAGAGTATGAACAAAATTGTAAAAAAGTTATAACGCATGAAAGGTCGAATTAAAACATTTCCACTAGAGGTGAAATCCCATCTACATTGATAGAAGACTAAAATTTAATATGATATTTGCCTACGGTCTTGGCGACAAAATCCTCAAATAACGCTGGGCCGAGCAGTGGTAGAGCAAGCGGGCATGGGCAAGCCCACGACCTCATCCACTTCAAAAAATCAAGCAACCTTAGCGATATCCTTCCTATTGGGGTCTGTATCGAAGGCGAATTCGATAAGAACAGAAACCAAAACTCTGATCTGATTCAAAAAGCCGAGAAACGATGAGATCAAATCGTTACAAGTTACAACATTTAACATTTTCAATACATATGACCTTATATAGATTTTCGATTTTATTGATCTTCTTCTATTTGAGATAAATGGTGCTAGGTAAAAAATTCGATTGACGAATACAAGTTATCTGTCAAAGAATTACAAGAAACATAGTTGTCGGTATTGTGAAGAAGTAGAGGAGGTTTATTGATAACGAAAACTAATAGTATGTAAGCCTGTGACTAATACGACGCATTAAATGCATAATAATATGGAGCAACACGTTTCATTATCGCTTCTCGGCCTTCTCGGTTTAGCTTCTGTTCTTATCGCATTAACCTTCGGTAGAGATCCAATTGGGTCTCGTTAAGGTTATTTAATTTTTCGCAGCGGATGAGGTCGTCGGCTTGCTCGCGCCTCATCACGGGTCGGCCCAGCGTTGCACTGCTGCGGTGATGGGGCCACCCGTCCGGGGGAGATTAGCTCGGAAACACGGTACGGTTGTTCCGTTTGTGTAGATGAGGACAAAAAAGATGTATGCATGTACAATTTTGTAGCCATGAATTCGTATGGAAGAGTAGTTCCGAGTGCAGTTCGCTTTCTCATACCGTCGATAAGAAGAAGTGCACTGGTGAATAAGGTATATATTCTATAGTAGAATAAAATGACGAAGCACTGTTTCATAAGGTGTTAACAAGAAAAGAATAAGTCCATTCATCTAAGTTTTATGGTATTTCAATATCTTAGAGTATTTACTACGTTATTGAATTGAACATCAAGTCTTTGATTTACAATAATTTTTCTTAAGTAATATGTATGTAATTTTAGCTTATTTCATATGTAAATTCAATCCAAT